GGCAACCTCTGCTCAGGCATACGCCTTCCAAGGATCTCTCCTGCACGCCGTGAACCACCCCAATCTGGACTTTCCTAATGACCCCTGCCTGACTCGGACCCCCCAAGACCAGGGGAGAGCAGACAGATATGGCAGGTGGCTTCTTTCCCAGAGCACCTGAACCCGCCAAAGTTCTGCTTAGACACCTGGTGGGTTCCCTCATCCCGGACGGCCTCCTCTTCCCTCCATATCAAAATCCTACCGGTCTGCTAGGCACAGACCACCTCCTCTGTGAACAGCACTAGCACTGGATGAGCATTTCCTACGTGCTAGGTACTGTGCTGGGACCTTCACTCCCTTGTCACATTCAATTCTTGTATCTCTGCAAGGTTCAAGTCAACATCCCCGCTTTACAGACTGGGAAATGACGGCTCCTCAGCTAGTGAGTAGAAGAACCAAAGTTCGAATGTAGGTCCGTCCGTCTGACCTCAAAGGCAAGTAGTTTCTATGAGGCCCTGTCACCTCCCTGACTCCGACAGCCATGCTGAGGGATTATTTCCACCTTTGAAATTCTGCTGTCCAGGGTCTGGAGACTTAACTAGACAATGTCTTGTGTTATGCCCAATGGATTGCGCACATTTCTGTCTTCTCTCCCCTACCTGAAAGCACAAACCACATTTCTGTATCCCTCACAAGGACATAGTGGGTCTTAAAAAATGCATGCTAACTGAGCCCTTCCAACAGTTTTCTAGAGATCCTCGTGCAAGCAGATAAAGAGCATTCCAGTTCTTATTTTTCCACCATCGAGGGAAGCTCAGTACAGTACACGGGGAGGAGCTTTGACATCAAACAAATACAGGTTCAAAGTCTAGCTTCGCAACTCACCTGTTGTATACTCTTCAACAATATCCACTCCGAGTCCGTTCCTTTATCTGTAAAACCAGTACCCTAACAGTATGTCTTCGTGTAGGGTTAACCCCTATGAACATGAAATGAGATGATGTATACAAAGCACAGGAGGGTGCCTAGCACATACGACAGTAAGCACTCTTTAGTGATAACCCCTGTACTATGCCGCTTTATTTTTCCTGGCTTGCCTCAAGACCTAATAGAAGGAGGATGGCTCAAGAGTTCTCTGGCTGGCTGGCACAATCTGACCAATGCACCCAGTCAGAAAAACTGCAAAAGTGCCTGCTCGAGCACCCGCCCAACACTGCCATTAGCTGCTGGAGTTGTCCCCTGCGGCCACATGGACCAGGCCATGAGCATCTGGTATGGGCCCTTGCAGCCAGGTCTCAGTCCTAGCGGGGACTGAGTAAATGCTGAAAACTTTAACATCAAGCTAGCCAAAGCCAGGGTTTATCCAAAGAGTTGGGGGCAAACACTCCAGTCCCACTGTCCACTGTGACCCCTCAGCCAGGCTCCTCTAGTGACAGGAACCACCTGACCTCTGTTATTCTGGGCTCTTCATCACGTCTGTTATCGCATATTGACTTAATTTGTCATTTGTGTATCTCCAACTTGACTTACATGCCCGACACCCTGGGACATTCCCAGAAGCATGGGTCCGGGGATGTTCTGGGGCTGTTCCCAAAGGTCCAGGGCACACTAATAAAATGAACTAACTTAAAAGAGGAGGGGTCCTCAGAAGAGGGGGCTGGGTGTCTGCAGGCCCTTTCCCAGTTCCACTAGGGTGTTAGCGATGGTCTCTGCTCAGGTGCACACCTTCCAAGAATCTCGCCTGTGCACCGTGAACCCATCTGGACTTCCCTGATGACCCCACCTGACTCTGACCTCCCAGATTCCAAGACCCTTCCACCCACATCAAAGCTTGCAATATTTCCATCCACCTTGTTTCTGAGCACCTACCTGCCCCTGACTTGTTATTTCCCCATCAGACAGGAGCTGCCCAAAGGCAGACACTGGGCCTCTTTCCTCTGACTTACTGACATGCTAAGCATATCCTGACCACACTTTGCCCTTCAAATACAAGCGCTTAGGAAATAGGAATGGGTGAGTCAAAAAGCCTCAGTCTCGTCCTACAGTTCCCTGTGGGTGCCCCTAACGTCCTTCGTCTTACCTCTTCCATCACCCTTTTCCTCACAGGCCACTCCAGAGCCGGCCCTGACCCCACCACTCAGGAAAGCACCAACCCAGCCCTCCTCATGGCTGTGGGAGAGAGGGCCGCCCGCCAGTCCACAGCCCTGTCCACCCTGGTCGGACGTCCTCACTCAAGCTTATCTAGGTTACTTATCCGATGACTTGTCTCTCTTCCCGTTGCACTGGAACCTCTGAGAGATCAAACCCCATTTTGCTTTTTTTGCTTCTAGGATCCCAGCCCCCAGCCCAGCAGCAAACTGTAGGGGTTAATTAGTGTTTGTTAAAGGAGTAAGCGTGTCAGCAGCCCCGAGTTCCTCTCACTTCCTTCCCCCTCCTCCCAGAGGCCAGACGGAGGACTGGACTTCTGTCGCTCCCTTTCTGGTTGTCTAAGGATTTCTATTCCTAAAGACTAAGTGACGAGCCACCCACCCCAGCTCTCGGATGGTCTTGGAAGAGAGAGATGATAGGGAAGGAAACAGCAGCAATGCCAGGGCGACGGGAGCCTTGGAAGCCTGCCCTCCATCCCTGCAGGAGCAGGACCCTCTTCTGTGCCTCCTCCCGCTCAGCCATCCAAAGCAGACCCCGGATACCAGCCAGCTCCTCAGTGTGTCCCTGAAAGAACCAGCACTGCGACCCTGCCCGTCGGCCCACAGGGAGCTCTCTGGAGAGCTGGCTCCTCTTGTGTGCCTCTGCGTAGCCTTCCTGAGGTCAAACAAGGCGTGTGCGTTGGGAGTCATTTCATGAAACTAGGAAATGTGTACATTGTTATCAGACTCTCCCACTTAACCCGAGCCCCAATCATTTCAATCGCAGAACCTTAATCCAATCAGCACTCGAGGATGGCTCCAGGTGATGCCTCCTCCCAGACCAGCTTCCTGCCCCGCCCCCATTCTGATGGCAGGGGCACAGAAGGGCGACAAAGGGTGGGGGGGGCAGCTAGTCCCCCAGCCAAATGCCCCTCTGCCAGGCACTGCCTGAGTCCCCTTCGGAATGGGACTCAGATTTGTGAAGTCAGGGAGCCTGGCTGAGAAGGGGCCTCAATTTGCTCCCAACCTCTGATTTAAGCCTCAGGCTTTTAACTAATGTCCCTAAAACAGGAATTGGGCTGTTTCACAGGGCAAACACAATCTGTGGGGGCAAGTGCAGGTGTCCCTTTCCTCGTCTGTGTTATTCTCATCCCCCCTCTCTACACACACACACACACCCTTCAGCTGAATCCAAAGACAAAAGGGAGAAATCACTCTCTCGGAAGTGCCAGCTCGGTCAAAACAAAAGATAGGAAGCACTGGATGCGTAGCAGACCCCTCTCCTGCCCGAAGTTTATCTCCTTCAATTCTTCCTGCAAAGCAATTCCACCCGATCCACGCATCCCCAACCCAGGGGGAGGACGTTTCTACCTTCCTTCTCCCTGCCCCTCACTCCCACACTAGTACGGTCCCTCTCCCGGGGGATCCTCCTTCCACACATATTTTCCCTGGGCTTCTCCTACTTAAGTCTCAAGTTTGGCGGGTTTTGAACTTGCCAGTCTCTGGCCCCGTTCAAACAATCCAACCCCTACCCTGCAAGTCTGCCCTTGCTGGAGATTTGATTAAGACCAGCAGGGCTCACCACAGCTCACCCCAGCTCCAAGGGTAGAGAAGACACACCAGGCCCTCGTCCCAGGGAGAGGACAGGCAGCAGAGGCACCGTCATGTGCGCCTCCAGACTGAGGGAGAAGGCATCTCCGCCCGACACACTCGCACACCGCTGCCAAATGCTCAGAAGGAACCAGGAGCCAGGCCTGGCTCAGGCAGGCAGGAGAGGGGCTGCTGTAGGGACCAGAGTCTCGGTGATTCAGCACTCTGCCCACTCTCAGCCCAGCCCATTGGCCACACTCATGACAGCTCTTAACGCCAAAGTGCTGACTTGGAAGCTGAGGAAGAATCTTTCTAAAATCCCGAATTCTCCAGCCTCCAGTGGACTCCTCATCCTTTGCGCCCCAGGGCTCAGAGCAACACCAGGAAGCGGCTACTCGGCCGCTCCTCAGAGCCTAGCTCTTCCCCATCCTAGTTTCCCTGTGCCAAGCACTCCCTCCCCCGGTCCCTCTAGGACACAAACCTCAACCACTGAGGGAAGGGGAACATTAGAGGGGCCTACCAACCCAATGCACCCTTTGCCCCCAAACCATGAAATGGATCACACATGTAGAAAGGGGTTATAAGCAGCAACTGTGAGTACATGGGGCCTGCAGAGCCGAAGGCCTCCCAAAGCAGGGGCTCAGTACAAGCCCTGTGGCTACAGGCATCACCAAAAAGGGCAGGTGGGGAAGGTGATGGAGGGCAGGCCAGATAACAGCCAAGGAGAAGACGGGGCTCTTGAGAGGGGCTATGAGGAAGCTGGGAAGGGGCTGGGACGGGGTGTGCAGAGGGGACCTGGAGAGAACTGTGAGGGAGCTGATGGAGGGACAAGCACAGAGTACGGGGGGTGGGGGGTTATGAGGTTGCGGGGAGAGCAGGGTAGGGCAGGCAGAGGGGCTGGTGATGTACAGGGTAGGAAAAATAGAGGGGACGGGGTGATACAAAGTGGTTGTGGAAGTAAACAGAGGTATCGGGGCAGGGCTCATGGAGACAGAGGCAGAAGCAAAGGGGAAAGAGGGTGAGGACTCGGAAAGGGGGAGGGATGCAGCCAATGAGATAGAAAGGGTGTGCGGTGTGCAGAGGGGTCGGGAGCTGGATGCGAGTGGGGTGCACATATGCACAGAACAGAATAGATTCAGAGCAGGTGACGGTGTGAAGAGAAAGGTCGGGATGTGGAGGGAGGGGGATGGGGATAGGACCGGGGATGGAAAGGGGAGGGCAGGAAAATGGGGGTAGTCGGTAATTAGGTTTCCGTGATCCCCTAGTGCCCCCACCTCCATCTTTCTGGTGTCCGAGCTCACCTACCTACAAGGGATCGGTTCCGACACTGAGCGCAATCCTTGCGGTCGGCTGCCGGCGCTGCCACTACCCTGGCGTCCCCTGCAGCGCCTCTTACCGCCAGCCGCCGCATTAGGGCAGAGACCAGCCTGTGCGCGTCCCCGGGCAGCAGCGCGCCCCCAACACCTTGCGTGCGCGCCCTCGCGCCACTCCCTTCGCGAGCAGAGCGGGAACCCGGACGCAGCCGCAGCCGGAGGGGGGAGGGATGCTCCAGCGCGGGGCCCCGCCCAGCGCGTCGGTAAGGTTCGCTTGTCCTGGCCGAGGAAGGCCCCATCTTTCCGTTCTCACGGATCCACGGCCTTTCTGAAGATTGGCTTTGAAAATGATGTTAATTGGTGCCTGTTTCTGTTTGCTGAACGCCTACTACGTGGCACGGGAGGAAACATGCTGAATCGTATCACGTATTCATATATATGAAATTGCTCAGAGATTGTCCTTTGTATGCGCCACCATCAGACTGTGACTTCTTGGGGGCAGACTCTGTCTTCTGAGGGAGACCTGCTTGTGGTCGACTCTCCAGGAACGTTTGTTGAAGAGTTGTTGGGTCCCAGCTGGGCACATGAGGGAGATGGTGACACCTGCGTGGGGCAAAGTGTCTTAAAAATGGGAGGTGCCCTCTGCCCTAGGGGTTCAGGCCTTGTCGTTTCCTGTCCTTGAGTTAGTTGGAAGAAGCCAAGGCCTGAGAGACAGACAGGAGATCCTCGTGCTTCTCCTGGCTGGGTGACTGCCCTCTCACAGGGACAAGACACTTCTCTGTGCGCCTCAGTTTCCTGAACTGAGCAATACAGAGCTGTTTGGGTTATCCCTTCTGGTCCCTTCTAGCTCAGACATGGAGAATGCACTAGGATCTGGCTAACGTGTACAAGCCAAAACCTGAGCTCACTTATAACCTCAATCAGTGAAAATATCTGGATTGGAGTAGAATCTTAGGCTTGGGAGAGCACTTGGGAGTCCAGTTCCCTATCCCAAACCACAGTTTCCTCAGCAGCCTCCCTCTGAGGTCCCATTCCAGGCTGCCCTCTCAGCTCACACAGCTGCTGCCCTGCCTGACACCACCTTTGCTGAGCTGTACCCCCTGCCTGCCTCTCCGTCTCCACTCCAACCTGTGAGTCCTCCCAAGTCCTTGAACATAGTAGGTGCTCAATAAATACTGGTGAAATGTTCCACTCTTCAGTTAGGTGCTCTGAGACCAACAATTATAACTATTGGGCAAAGACTATGCCATGGGAAAGGGGGAAAGGTGGCTATGGCAGGTTCCAGAATATAGTCTGAAGCCATACCACCCTGAATGCTGCAGATAGTGTCTGATCTCGGAAGCTAAGCAAGGTCGGGCCCTGTTAGGATTTGGATGGGAAACCAGAATGTAGCTTTCCATAGGTGCCAGGGACTGCTGGCAAATGTTTTTGCAGGGTCCCTGTCTGTACAATTTGATTTCACTCAGAGTCTTGTCTCAGCACCACTCTGGCAGCCCAATCGTACACAACTTGGTGATTGTAAAAGCACACCGTAAACAAAATAGTGCGCCCTCCTGGAGACGGTCCAGGCCATATGGCCCCGGATGACCTCATCGGCCAGTCCAGGGGTGCTTCGGGGTGTCTGGAGAGAGACAGGGCATGTAAAGGACTGAAAACTTCTCCAAAGGGCAGAATCTGGAAACTGGGAGCCCTGTCCAGATGGCACCACTGGCCTCACCCAGTCCCCGGCACCAGGGTTGGAGAAAAGGGGACACTTAGAGACGTAGAGGAAGGTGCACCAAAGCACTAGGGCCCCCCAGGCCTGGACCCATTACTTCCCCTACTTTCCTTCCTGGGAGTGTGCTGCTGTGGCTGGCTCCATGGGATAAAGAAAATAGCTCTCCTTTTCTCAGCACGTCAGCCACAGGTTTTCTTGTACAAATTATTCTCTTGCTTTTTACAGCACTAGGAGGTAGCTATTTTATAGGCAGTATTGCTAGGATTCTGTGCCACCAGCTCTCCAGGCAGCCCACTGGGGTTCAAATCCCACCTCCACCACATCAATCTGGGAGAACTTGGGAAGTTTATTTATTGATTTTCCTTTTATTTATGTTCATAAAATTGCCACTAAAGCTTTAACAGTTGAATCATAGTGTCGTCTTTCTATAAGATTTCTCATAAAATACATTTCCCTCACACTTTCCCCTATCTGAAAGTTAAACTTTGAGCTGTTTCTCTGGTTATTTATCTTCATATTTCTCAATAACATGCTCTATTGCTACTTCTTGCTTCTGGTGCAGGCACTGTCTTTTGATTGCATCCTATGAAAGATTCTTTCACCCCTGTATGTCTTCTTTGGAGAGATGCGTTTTCATACCTTCGGCCCATTTTTTTAAGAGCTAAGAAAATGGAGATCTGGAGAGGTAAAAGACAACACAGTGATTTGATGGTTAGAACTGAATTGGAACTCAAGTGTGAAGAAATTAAGTCTGGGCCTTAGGGAATGCAGGGCCTCCAGGGGCCTGCAGGGTGGGGTGGCAGGAATGTCCTAGCCTGTCCTGATCAGGGGAGGGGCACCACCTGCTGGTGATGGACGGGGTGAAGTGGCTTCGACCTGTGCACATTGCCTGCAAGCCTGTCAGGTAAAGACCCAGCGCCAGGGGCACCCAGTGGTTGTTCTTTCTCTCCAGACTTGGTCAGGCCTTCCTGCTTCCTTTTCCTCTCTGAGTCTGTATCTCTGGTTCTGGCTGAGACCCCAGCCAGCGAGGACTCTGCTGACCCTGGACCTGAAATCTCACTCACTGTGTCCCCTTGTTGTGGCAAAATGACGAGTCTCGGGTGATTTTTACATCCCCTGGCAATTCATAGCTCCCAACCAAATGTCACAAGCCCTGCCTGCCTTGTGCTGAGCTCAGGCCAAGTGAAAGCCCTCAGGCCCTGAGTCTCAGGTGTTTGCAAAGGACGCTCAGTGCGTACAAGGATGGTGGAAGCTGAGGAACAGGGCTGGGCCCCCAGCATCGGTTACACCTTCCAAGCTGCCCTCCACCACATGGTCACCAGAAGGTGCGGGGAACCAGGCAGTTACATACATTTTTGGTGGAGGTTTAACTTGTTATAGCCTTTTGAGAGAGCAATTTGGAAATACTATCGAGACTTGGGATGCACCCTTTGACCTGCCAATGACACCTCTAAGAATCCATCCTGCGGAAACACTAGCACGAGTCACACAGGTGTGTGCACACAGGATGTTCTGTGTGGCCCATCCAGAGGACAGGGACCAAATACGCTGTGATAATCTCTGCAGAGCCGAAGTGTGGACCTGCTGGGTTTTTAAACCAAACAGAGGGATGAGCAATAGCCCTCCCCAGCCAGAAATCCTGGCATTTAGAAACCTTTGTCAAAGAGCTTTTTTTTCAAACACATTTATACAAACAGCCTTGAGAGTGAGTGCACACTGCTAACCACAAAGGCATCCAAATCGCCATAATCAAATGGCTAAGACATATTAAACAATCTCTTTTTCTGAAACCCTTGATTCACTTTATCATTGTGGTGCATGGTACTCTGTTTTAACACTCAGCGTAAATGTCTTCTGTGTAAAAACCTCTCACTTGGCCAGACCCAGCCTCTCTGGGTAGCTGAGCACATGGTAAATGTCCCCTGAACCCTTAACCACTTTGTGTGTCGTTATAGGCATGTCTCCCCCACTCAAACGGGAGTTTCCCAAGGGCAGGGAATCTTATATCCACAGAGCATGGCACAGCACGCTGCTCACAGCTGAAGCTCCATTTGTCCAGGAAATGAATAAATGTGGGAAGAAAGCAGAGCTGTTAGGAACATAGACTGTACTGTCTGAAGACAGCAGCCACTAGGCTATTTAAGTTAACAAAAATTACAAATGCAGTTCTTCAGTTACACCAGCCACTTTTCAAGTGGATAACATAGACCGCAGGACATCTCCATCATGGCTGAAAGTTCTGTTGACCAGCACTGAATGGCATCGTGGCCAGTGCCAAGTGGGGCTGCGCAGCGTCCCACCTGCCCAGCGGTCCAGAGCGGGCCTGTGTGGACACAGGGCTCCGTCTGTGCGCTGCTGTGCTGGAGGCCAGTCGGAGAAGCACACAGGTGTCTGTGGTCTAAGACAGGCACGAGACATCTAAAAGCTCCCTGAAAGGATGTCCCCTTGATGAATAAATTCAGGCCAAATATAAAAAATGAACAGACCAAAGGAAGGACTAAAAAGAGGTTTGGGTGTCCTTGTAGCCTGAAAAGTAGTTTCACTTCGTATGTTTGAAATAGATGTGACTTTGCCAGAATTATTTCTTGGGGAAATAAACATATCAGACAGGAATAATCATGCTGGCTATTGAAATACAGCCAAACAAAATATTTGTCTTCTTCTGGCAACCACAGAAGATCTCTAACTCGGCAGCCACTGGTTTCTGAGCAAGAGTTCCTGTCCTTTTCCACAAACCACTAAAATGCCCTGTCAGTTGCTGCATTGCAGCCTCCAGACTGTCCGCCACTGCCTCTTGCACATCGCAAACACACAAATATTTTCTGACTAGGTATGTGGGTTTTCTATCAGGAAAATATACCTACCTGGCCAGTCCTTCCCGTTTCTGCCAAAGGAACGGGCTGGGCTGAGGATGCCTCCTTCTGCACCGGACCAGGCCCGCCAGGCGGGGGCAGCAGAGGAGGCATCAGTGCACTTCACAACCACCCAGGGGCCTGTGCTCCAGACTCCAGGCCCCAGCCTCTTCTGTTTCTGCCTCATCCCCTCCCCACTCCCGCCTACGTCCTCCCTCCCCTTCCCGGAATAATTCCCCCTGGCTGCCAGGATCAGCATGAGTGGCTCCCCTTTATCTTATTAATCCAATTATAGCAAAACCCTGAGTAGAGAGTTTTAAATATGTGTCTATGTTGGTTATTTATCTATTCATAAGAGGCTGCCCCCTCCCCCCTGGGTGGGTGGGCCCAGGAGAGTGGATCCGAGCGGGTAGATGGGATGGATAGCACTTCTTTTTTTAACTGATTGTAGAGAGAAGGGAAGGGAGAGAATCATCAATGAGAGAGAG